AGTGTCACGTTCGAACATCGGTGTCGGTAGTTACTCATTTTCTTCTTATATCACACTATCTATCTATCTGAGTCTGTTCATATCTATCTATCTTTTGTGAGGTACTGCAGCCGTTAATAATTAAGTACAACTCAAGACTTCAATGTTAAAATAAAACAGTATTTAATTACAACGGCAAATAAATACTTAAGAAGAACAAATAATTAAAAGTCAACCCAAGATAATTAACCATTTCAGTGGATCGACTTAACATCCGGTAAATCATATATCAAAACCCAAATCATCGACGCACAATAATTCACACTAATTCGACTGGACAGTTCCACTCAATAGTCACACAAATAATCAACGCAGTCAGTAGCCTGACACCGCTATTCATACACCTGGCAAAAAACATATGTTCATAAGTCCAGAGTGTCACGTTCGAACGTAGGTGTTAGTAGTTATTTTCTCCATGTATGACAGATAGATAGATAGATACTAGCAGAATATTATACTTAAAATATATAGCCTGAAGTTTGCGTTCAAGCAGGGTCCGAGTGTCCATTTTTATATTTACACATGCTCTATTCCTGATACTCATAAATATAGCAAACCATAAAATTATATTTTTATTTTATATATATATATATATATATATATATATATATATATATATATATATAGTGAGAGAGACAATAGAGACAATAGGTTGACCGAACGTCCAGTTCACATTCTTCTCCAGTCTTTTAGTCTATCCCTTGTTTCCTGTTTAGGATTTTCATTCTCTTTCACTTCTAGTAGCCCCTTTGCGTCTAAGTGGCTATATCGCCTTGCTTGGAGTGAATTGATTAAATCGATTGACATATATATGGATTGAGATATATATATATATATATATATATATATATATATATATATATATAGATAGATAGATAGATAGATAGATAATTGTTGTAGAGTAGTTTCACAGTGGAGGCTTGTATTTGTACTAAGTCGGTCCTAAAATAGGTTCGACGTACAAAACGTTAGGAACTTGATATGAGAGGTATAACACAGAGTAATCTAGTTGTGGTCGCTGATACTTTAGTATCCGACTAACAGTTGTCGAGCATCGACTGACTGACCAACTCCTGAGCCACTGACTCGTTATTATTACTACTACTACTACTAGTTATTATAGGTGGGAGAGTCTATTAACTATAGAATAGGTGTGTTCCATTATAACAATAATGAACGAGCTGAGATAGATAGATAGATAGATAGATAGATAGATAGATAGATAGATAATGAACGAGCTGAGATAGATAGATAGATAGATAGATAGATAGATAGATAGATAGATAGATAGATAGATAGATAGATAGGATAGGATAGCATCACGTGAGAAACTAGAGGGCAGTGTGGAGACTTAATGTTTAATTTTATCAAGAGAAACGATACGAAATCCAAATGCGAGATTGAAAAAAAAAAAAAAAAGAACTGGCAAATGAAAAAATAATTCTGTCGTTTTGGGCACAAGATGCACTGAAGAAACGATGGAGCCACTTGAAATTCCCACCGGAGACAAGGAAAAGAGAAACGTAATTACAGAAATGAGTTTTTCTTTTCCTTCTTTACTTCCCGTCTTGTCCTTGTTGCCTTTATGAATTATCTCCCTTCCTTAAGATTGTGTCTCCTTATTTCACGCCAAACCAACGCCTGAACACCCACCCGCCCTCCAGTCTCTCCTGCTTTGGGTCTTGTTCCTTTTCCATTAACTTCTTACCATTTATCCTTTTCTTCTCATCACACATCCGTTTTTCATCTCACCTTTCGTTTTACCGATTTCCCATCGCTTTTTATGTTGCTTCTTACTCTCCATTACCTTACCCTCCACCACCACCACCACCACAACTACTACAACTACCACCACCTTCTTCTTCTTCTTCTTCTTCTTCTTCTACTACTACTACTACTACTACTATACTTATTCACCCTTATGGCCATTTAATGTGACTCACACTCTTTCTATTCGCTCTCTATTATTCATTAAAGAACCTTTTTTTTTATTTCTCTAAGTTTGGACATTAATTCTATCTATCTATCTATCTATCTATCTATCTCTGCTCATATCTATCTATCTACCTATTTATCTCTGTTCATGTCTATCTATCTATCTATCTATCTATCTATCCGGTCTTTTAATACAATGAATCTATCTATCTATCTATCTATCTATCTATCTATCTATCTATCTATCTATCTATCTATCTATCCCTGTTCATATCTATCTATCTATCTATCTATCTATCTATCTATCTATCTCTGCTCATATCTATCTATCTACCTATTTATCTCTGTTCATGTCTATCTATCTATCTATCTATCTATCTATCTATCTATCTATCTATCCGGTCTTTTAATTCAATGAATCTATCTATCTATCTATCTATCTATCTATCTATCTATCTATCTATCTATCCCTGTTCTATCTATCTATCTATCTATCTATCTATCTATCTATCTATCTATCTATCTATCTATCTATCTCTGCTCATATCTATCTATCAATCTATTTCTGTTCATATCTATCTATCTATCTATCTATCTATCTATCTATCTATCTATCTATCTATCCCTGTTCATATCTATCTATCTATCTATCTATCTATCTATCTATCTATCTATCTATCTATCTCTGCTCATATCTATCTATCAATCTATTTCTGTTCATATCTATCTATCTATCTATCTATCTATCTATCTTTCTATGTTCATATCTATCTTATCTATCTACCTATTTATCTCTGTTCATTATCTATCTATCTATCTCTGCTCATATCTATCTATCTATCTATTTTTGTCCATATCTATCTATATATCTATCTATCTATCTATCTATCTATGTTCATACCTATCTATCTATCTATCTATCTATCTATCTATCTATCTATCTATCTATCTATCTCTGTTCATTATCTATCTATCTATCTCTACTCATATCTATCTATCAATCTATCTATTTCTGTCCATATCTATCTATCTATCTATCTATCTATCTATCTATCTACCTGTTTATCTCTGTTCATTTTCTATCTATCTCTACTCATATCTATCTATCAATCTATCTATTTCTGTCCATATCTATCTATCTATCTATCTATCTATCTATCTCTGCTCATATCTATCTATCAATCTATTTCTGTCCATATCTATCTATCTATCTATCTATCTATCTATCTATCTATCTATCTATCTAATATCAGATCCCAGAGCCTCTTTCCCTCATAGCAACATTTATTACAACCAGGCATTGAACCTCTATTTCACATAACCGCCAAGCTTTGGAGTGGGTGAAATTTAGTATCTATATAACTATCTGTTTATATATCTCAGTCTCTTCATATCTACCTACCTTAGTCTGTACATATCTATCAACCTATCTCAGTATCTCTCTATCTCCATCCTTCTCTCACTCTCACTCTCTTTCTATCTCTCTCTCTCTCTCTCTATATATATATATATATATATATATATATTAATAAATGTACATATTTATCTTAAAATACTTAAATTTTCTTTGATTTGTTTAAATTTAACGTAGGTCATATTCGATTGGTTGATCTGAGTAAAGCCAACAAAACTTATAACCCACGCCCTTTTTTTTTTTCGTAAAAAGAGTTTTTATTTTGCTTTTAAATATAAATAAATCGTTCAGTCGCCATTAATTTACAATCGCCTGATGAGATGCATTGATACGCATCGGAACACAACTGCAATTGTGTAGCGATTTTGATATGTTTTCGATGTAATGACCTAAAATAAATTTATACATATTGAGCACTCTTTTAAGAATAGTATATTTTCGTTATTGGAATTTATTCCGTATACACCAAATATATATATATATATATATATATATATATATATATATATATATATATATATATATAAAGTACAATATATGATGTAAAATAATATATTGTAAAAGGAAGCTAAAAGCAGCCGTGCCTAAAAGTTGTAAACACTAAAATGTCTCATATATATATATATATATATATATATATATCAAATAACAATTTAAAAGAGACTGTTTGACCACATGTTAAAAGATTCGTGTTAAAACGATAAAGGATAAAAAAATAAATGAAAACTGCAGACAAAAGTTCATTTTATCCATCAAGACATTCATTTCTGTAGTTCACTACTACCAGCAAGCAGAAAATTATTTTTCTCCTGATGATGGCCATGTTGGCCGAAATTAGTCAAACAATCTAACTGAAATAATAATAAAAACGAAAGAATACAACCCAGTGTGTCTGAAGATTTTAATTTTTTAATATGTTTTATTGTTCATATATATATATATATATATATATATATATATATATATATATATATATATATATATATGCGTATATATGAAAATAATAAGAAAGAACAATAAGATATTCAATCTGGTGTTCTTAGTAATTATTTTAATTTAAAAAAAACAGTGCTTGATACAAAAACAGTAGATCATAATATTATAATTATTTTCTATTTTAAAAATGTGTTTCTATCGCTACACAGGAATTACCATGTTTCAAAACAGACACTTAAAATTTTAGATTTAATTAGAATATTAAAATGGAACGTAGCTATGGATTTACTTCTATAATTATATATATATATATATATATATATATATATATATATATATATATATATATAAAAAGTGAACATAGAAGTCAACACTTAGGGGCGACAGTCTGTTTCATGCTTTATATGCAATAGTCAGACCACGGCGATTTCATATAGCATGAAACAGACTGTCGCCTCTAAGTGGCAGCTTCTATATTCACTTTTATATTTACACACGCTCTATCTCTGATATTGAGCACTTTATTCCATAAATATAGCATAAATATAGCATACCTTAAGACTATATATATATATATATATATATATATATATATATATATATGTACGTGTAGATATATATCAGTTCATGCCAATTTAGGTTATTCGTGTCTGTCTCAGTTCTTATATATCTATCTATGTTCTCTCTCTCTCTTTCTCTCTCTCTTTCGTTCTCTCTCTCTTTCTCTCTTTATCCATATATGGAATTCTTGTTTAATTTTTCTTTCTTTCCTCTTACTTTTTTCTATCGTTCTCGGACTTCATTCGCCCGCTTCAATTGTATCTTTTCATATTTCCCATCTTTCTTTCCTTCCATAAATATAGCATACCTTAGACTATATTTCTTTATATATAAATATATATATATATATATATATATATATATATATATATATATATATATATATATATATATATATGTTCGTGTAGATATATATCAGTTCATGCCAATTTAGGTTATTCGTGTCTGTCTCAGTTCTTATATATCTATGTTCTCTCTCTCTTTCTCTCTCTCTCTTTCTCTCTCTCTCTTTCTCTCTTTATCCATATATGGAATTTTTGTTTAATTTTTCTTTCTTTCCTTCTACTTTTTTCTATCGTTCTCGGACTTCATTCGCCGCTTCAATGTATCTTTTCATATTTCCATCTTTCTTTCCTTCATCTTTTCTTTCTCTTATTTATTTGAGATTTTCCTCTTTTTTTCCCTTTCTTGCTGATTTCTTTCCTTTTCACTTATTCGCCTCCCCACCCCCAATATAGATTTTCTTTTTTTTTTCCTTCTTATCTTCGATTTTTCTCTCTTTTCACTTTCGTTTTCAATCTTTTTTTTTCTTTCTTTTTTTCCTTTCATTCTTATTCTTTCCTCCTTTATTTTTTTCTAAAACGCCTTTTCTATTCAATGTTTCTTTTTTCATACTGTTTCTAATCTCCAAAATACGCCTCCATTTTTGTTAACAGTTTAATCTCTCCTGATTTACTCTTTCTCGCGGCTTTGATTTCACAACTTTCCTTTCTTTAGTTATAATTCCTTTCGTTCTTTCTCCATTTTTCTTTTTTCTTCTTTTCTTTCTTTCTATCTTATTAAGTTTCTATATTTTCTTCCTTCCTCTCTTCCATTCTTTCTTTCTTTCTACCTTTTTCTTTCTTTCTTTCTTTCTTTCTTTCTAATTTTTCACTTAATTTCTTTCTTTTTTTCTTTCTTTCTTTCTTTCTTTCTTTCTTTCTACATTGTACTTCCTTGCTTTCTTTTTCTTTTCTTTCCTTCTTTATATTTTATTAACTTTCTAAATTTTTCTTCCTTTCTTCCTTTTTCTTTATTTCTTTCTTCCATTCTTTCTTTCTTCCATTCTGTCTTTCTTTCTTCCTGTCTTTTTTTCATCCTTCTTCCTTTCTTTCTTTCTTTCCTTCTTTCTTTCTTTCTCCTTCTTTCTTCCTTTCTTTCTTTCTTTCTTTTTTTCAGCACGTATCTTTTATTCGTTTATATTATACTTTTTTCATTCATTTTCTTTTGCTTTCATTCCGCGGCAATTTTTATGAATTCACCTCCTTTTCTATTTTCCTTTCTATATTTTCATATTCATTCACTTTTCTTTCTTTCCAGTTAAATTCCTTCTTTCTTATTTTTTTTCTTCGTTTAACGAATTTCCATGAAATTCACCGCCATTTTTTATATTTTTTCTTTCTTTACATACATCTCCATCTTAATTCATTTCAACGATATGCAATCTTTCTTTCTTTATTCATTAATTTTTCCTTAATTTTATCTCCGTTTTCTTTCTTCCAAGATTTTTTTTTTGTTGCCTTGAACACCTCTTTTCAGCCGTTTAATTTTCTTTCTCTATTTTTTCTTTCATTAATCGACTTTTTATGAATTTCTATCAAATTTATCCTTGCTTCTTACTTTTTTTTCATTCATTTTTTCTACCTTTCTCGTATATTTTTTTCAGTTCATTCCATTTTTTTTTGTCGTCTGCATCTTGCCTATAATTTCATTTATCTTCTCCAAATTTTCATTTTCTCCTCTGTCTTTTTTTCTTATTGATTTTGTTTTTCTCTTTCTTTGCCTTCTTCAGAACACCAAAGCCAATCAACTCAGATATCTTCTCTCACAAGCCAAAATGTAATCATCATTTTTTCCGACATCAATGGAACTCTTAATGAAAAGAAGAAATGAACGAACGAAAAAACACATTACAGAATTCATCTCGAAGAAAATTGAATGACAGTAGAAAAGAGAATATAAAAAAAATGAAACTGAATACCTGGACGCATATAAATGAAGCCCGTCTTATATGGACAAGATAGATGTTTATGTATGTTCTCAAAAAACTTTTATTGTTCTTAAGTTCCATAAATACAGACAGTCCGTCCTTAGCGAACAAGAATGAACACGATGAGGTTTGCTAACTATTAACGAGATGCCAGTGTGTGTGGGGGGGGAGACATTTTTAGAGTCTTCTGTCTTTATTTATTCACGTGATCTGTTCTCACAAAATCCAGCCGTTTAATATTAACGAAAAATGAATAAATAAATAGCCTACCTAGGGCAATGGCATCTTAATCTACATCAAGTATTCCCATTGTGAAATCACACACTTATCACAGGGTCCCAGCATTTTTTTTTAATTCTGCAAAGTGCCATTTTGGGATCGCTATCGGCTGCCTTGTGCCATTCTCCTTAACAATTTTGGTGTCATTTCAACAACGAATTTACCTTTACGAAAAGAAGAAATAAAAGAAGACATAAGGAAAGGAGTGACAGATTTGGATGATGCGATATTTTTAAATAATGGCAGGAGACAGGAGTAATCTATTAACACGGTCATTAAGAATGTAACAGTCACACAGTATACAATCTCAGTCCGTGATAGCACACTATCAACTGAGTAATCCCATGGGAGTGTATCAGAAAATGAGTATTGTAGACATGCCTTGGTTGGGGATGCTCAATCTTCAATAGTATACAAAATCATTTAAGCGGCCTTTTGAGGTAAGAAATAGAATACAATCTATCTGTTTAACTCTTTCAGTCTATTCATATCTATCTATCTATCTATCTATCTATCTATCTATCTATCTATCTATCTATCTATGTAAGCCTCTTCATTGTCTATCTCATTATATCTATCTATCTATCTATCTATCTATCTATCTATCTATCTATCTATCTATCTATGTAAGCCTCTTCATTGTCTATCTCATTATATCTATCTATCTATCTATCTATCTATCTATCTATCTATCTATCTATCTATCTATGTAAGCCTATTCATTGTCTATCTCATTATATTTATATCTATCTATCTATCTATCTATCTATCTATCTATCTATCTATCCTATTCATAAGCCTATTCATTGTATTTATATTTATATCTATCTATCTATCTATCTATCTATCTATCTATCTATCTATCTATCTATCTATGTAAGCCTCTTCATTGCCTATCTCATCTATCTATCTATCTATGGAAGCTTGTTAATTATCTCTTTATCTATCTTTTCTCTTCACATCTATCTATCTATCTATCTATCTATCTATCTATCTATCTATCTATCTATCTATCTATGTAAGCCTCTTCATTGTCTATCTCATTATATTTATATCTATCTATCTATCTATCTATCTATCTATCTATCTATCTATCTATCAATCTATGTAAGCCTATTCATTGTCTATCTCATTATATTTTATATCTATCTATCTATCTATCTATCTATCTATCTATCTATCTATCTATCTATGTAAGCCTCTTCATTACCTATCTCATCTATCTATCTATCTATGGAAGCTTGTTAATTATCTCTTTATCTATCTTTTCTATTCACATCTATCTATCTATCTATCTTTTGTATTTATATCTATCTATCTATCTATTTCAGTCTACTCATATCTATCTATCTATCTATCTATCTATCTATCTATCTGGGTATATTTCTATCTATCTATCTATCTATCTATCTATCTATCTATCTATCTATCTATCTATATATATATATATATATATGTGTGTGTGTCTGCGTGTTATATATATATATATATATATATATATATATATATATATATATGTGTGTGTGTGTGTGTGTGTGTGTGTTAATAAATACACATATAATGAGTATCTTAAAACTCTTAAATAGGCCGGGATTATTAAACAAGGGAAATGAATTGCCACATATAGGCATAATAAAAAAATATCTAATTAAACACATACACCCAAATTTATATTTAGCTCTATCTTCGTTTAATTTTTAGTGCATGTTTCTAATATTAATATTTTTTAAATAAGATTAAATAAGCTCACTTTAATTAAATAATTAATGATGCTCTAATCTAAAATAAAATAATAACAAATAAATAAATAAATACAAATATTTTACGTTCATATGCTAATCTCGGTTATTTTAATTGCCAAATATGTTTTGAGAAATGTCATTTTTTTAAAATTAAATGCATATAATTATTTTTTTTTTAATTTAAAAGGATTTAATATTTTTTTTATTCTTAAGATTAATCTTAACATAAAATATCTTAATCTTAAGACTAAAAATAATGGAAGCCCTAATAATAAAAAAGGCAATTCTAACATTCAGTAATATTAACTACGAACACGGCCACAATTTGCTGAATGTCTTCGGAAAAAAACAAAAAAAAAACAAACATCTATATGACTTTAGAAACATGCACACAACCCATACACATAATTAAAAATAAAAAATAAAATCATCCTTAATAAAGGCTAAAAGTATTGCAGAAAGTGCTCGGAATTACTCTGTGTCCACAAAAGAAAACACTTGTACGAACACAAGAAAAATTAAATAAAAAGCTTAATCGTAGTAGCTTTTCTTTTGTCTTTAATGAAACATGTATAAATGAAGGATTGCTACCTAAATACACAATATACACACACACACACACACACACACACCCATATATGTGTGTGTGTGTTTGTGTGTGTGTGTGTGTGTCACTTGCGTTTAGGCGACATTTTGAGGGAAGACCTTTTGGAAAATCCTAAGCTTTTTCCTAAACACGCAACATTGCCAGCCTATAGATCCTCCGACCCACACTTCCATGTTCAGATAAACTATATTTCTTTATTGCCAACGGTTCAGATATTTGCAGCTAGGATACACCACGGTGGAGTAATGGGTAACGTCTTCGGATTCAGGAATTAATCATGAAGCAATCTCTTGTACCCCACCCCATTATTCGTAAATAGCAGGGTTACCTTGTATAGCAACCGATCGATGTGAAGGGCGACTCTGAATTCAAAATCTAGTGTAATATGCTGACCTTTTCTTGTTAATATTATAACATTTTGGCCGTTGTGCTCTGCGGACTTCTTCAGGTGACAAGTAAAAAAAAATTAGGTTTGAGGCTCCACTTTCCAGGTCGAGTATTTTGCCACGTAACAATAGCCTTGCTGGTTCGTGAATTTGGTTATATAGTAATTGTGAGTTCAATCCCTGGGCCGAGTAGTACAGAGTTAGATTCAGTGGAAACAAGGCGAGTAATATCAGAACATTGCTAAAATAATTAAAATAAACTGAACAATATTAAATAAAAACAAGATGAGATATTTAGATCGGTAGATACCTGAGGAAGGCCCGAGAGCACGACGACCGGACCGTTAATAAATAAGAAGAAGACGAGATATTCTTAGACATGGGCAGCGGAACGAGAACATTCTGCCCTCGTTGATTAAATAAAGTGTTCAGTTGGAATGTTATTTGGATCGGTAGTCACTTGAGGAAATCTCGAGAGCACCTAGACCGGAAGGTTGATAAAACAATAAACAAACGAGGACATTCATCATAAATATTATAAATAAAGAAACAGAAATAGACCTCTAATATATCCAACAGACTCGCCATTTTATAGACTATCAGGTACACGAATTACCCAAATGTTTACAGATTAAACCAATTGAAGGAATATCGTAAACATTAACAAGGAACACAAAACCAGTTCAAGTTGGGCACCATGACGTGTTTTAATGGCTGGCATGCTTGTCTTACTAGTTCCATCCTCCCTGGGTGCCCCATACTTTCTGCCTTGTGCCACATCCAAGCTACACTTAGAAAATGACCAAATCCAGATTGCATTCAATTTCATGCAAGATCGAATCACATCTGGTAAACAGAGAGATACATGTCTACTTCTTCACTTTCCCCACTACTCAATGTGGCTTTGTTATTTATTTTTATTTTTTACTATTGTTCAAAAAACCCAAGAGCCACTCAATGTAGAAGGACGGTGAATGAGGTTATTACATGTACTCAAGTGGAGAAGCTAAGAAGTTCGAATTATGAGGATAAATAGAAAAAATAACAGTTGACCCAAGACAAAGAGTTTAAGAACTAGTGAGCATCCTCTCGGGAGTCTGTTTTCTAAAATAACAGTTCTATGGAAGAAGTGAGGCTTACTTCTTACTAATGGAATAGGAAGATAATCAGGATGATTCGTCACTGCTTATAGGCAGTGGCGGTTCCTAACCGTAAACGTTTAAAATGGTGGAACTAAGGACTGTGGCTCGTTAGAACATTCACCATGGAAATAGCGATAGAATATAGCGGCTTATGATGGAAAAGAGGAAGTAGGTGGAAAATAATATAAATAAATTATTTCTTGGACTTTATCCTAGAGAGTTTAGTGTGTATATTTCTACCCAACCGATATTTTGATTGGACAGGGGAAGCAATATCTTTTCTCACGGGACAGCAAAAATCCGTCCTTACTGAGTCATTAAAATGAAAACAAAACAATGTCTAAAGTCGTAGATATTTTGTTAAGATGACTGAAGAGTCTTGAAAAGGAAAATCTGGAGATGATGTCTCAGCTTTTGTTCCAGTGGAAGGGACAAGAGTGTAGTACCTGTTATCAAAGCTTAAATAAGGCAAAAGATGAATGTAAAATGGTGGTGTGGAATTGAAATTATTCCATATTCCAATAAGTTTCCAGTCATTTTTTTTTTTTTTTTGCAGTCGCTAATTTCAGAGAATTTTTTAATATTATAAAGCAGGGCAATATCGGGTAGCTGCTCGGATTGAAAAACAAAAGGCAGGGTTCGAATTCCACTCGAGTTTAGGACATTCACTTACGTGTAAACACACTCGGAAAGATATGAGTCCATCACTTCACACAGCCATAGGTAAATAGCAGAAAAGTCTTGAGTGGCAACCAGTCTAGGAGAAAAACAACTCTGAATTTAAAGCCTGAATGCTGGGCGATTTAACCGGCTCCCTAACCAGAATCCGATCTGTTTATGAGGCTAAATGGAACCGTAGCAGTACAAAAAAAAGAAGAGTTGTTAAAAGGCGCATCAGCTATGGGTTAAATAGTCACATCAACCCATAATTAGCCAAGCGTGGGGAGTGCGGTTACACCCCTAAAAAATAATCGATCGGAGAGGTATTCTTACAACAGTGCAACAAATAGTGTACATAATACCTCATCTCAGAAATATAGACAGATACTGAAGGGCCGAAACGTTGTGATAAATATGGTGACAAAGATGAGGACAATAGTCCGAATATTGTAAATAGTGTACATAATACCTCATCTCAGAAATATAGACAGATACTGAAGCGCCGAAACGTTGTGATAAATATGGTGACAAAGATGAGGACAATAGTCTGAATAATGTAAATAGTGTACATAATACCTCATCTCAGAAATACTGAGAAGACTCGGCATTTGAATTTAGATTTGGAAAGCGAGATGTTTGTATTTGATTTACACAGATACAAGATGGTTGACTGCAAATATATAAAAAAAGGGGAGTAAAACGCAATAGAAATAGTGAAAAAGATGGGCGTGACGAGGTAGTCAGGCATGAAATAGCTACCCTTACAATTTAACCGAACAAATAGATAAATGAAGAATGCATTAACAATTACCTGAAGTTCATAGAATCGTCAAGGTGTGTCTCTTTGAACTGTGAGTGTAGAGGGTACGGCATATTCACCGATGAATGAAGAAAATCTTACAATCATACAATCCATTAAAAATAAGAAATAGATGCCGTCCGCTAAATTACGTGAGAAATTACAAATTAAAATTCGATAAAAACAAATAAATAAATACTCTCCCTTAGTACTATGAAGAGTTCCGTTCCCTTGAAAGCTTATCGAAAGCGACACTCAACTGATGAGGGTTGGAATGTAGGTCGGGTATTAAGATATTGCAATACGGAACTCGTTCACACTTTATTATTCATTCTCGTATTATTTAGATGCAGATACACGGCGGTGTTATGTAACTGAGGTAAGAAAAGGCGCATCATGCCTGGTCTCTCCTCTTTAAATTTAGATATTTCTGCGATAGCAGCAAAAATAACTCTACGTTTTTTTAAATACTACACTAACCAGAAGAAGGCTGAGTAATTAATATCTTCATAGTATTTGGTATTGTTGAAGTTATCACTAACATTTTTGTAAAGATTTACAATTTCTATGTTCCGTTTAATTTCGTAAAACAGTCGATGAAATTTGACAAAGCTGATTTGTTTAGAAAAATATTTTGACAAAAACCCTATTTCACGGCTTAATAATTTCTTTAATTTTATTTTATTTTACAGCACTCCATAGTAAACAGGATTTTTTAAAGAAAGTTACTTTTTTTCTCCTTTAATTGTTTTTTTAATTTAAGTGATTTTTTTTTTTGTTTACATTTAAACAGTGTAGTCAGGAACAAGGCAACAATAAGACAGCGTTTAGTAAAGATCGAACAGAAGGATAAACAATCTTATTATCATGTTTGAGCCATTGCTTAGTCTGGCACAAGGCCATAATAAAAGCGAGGTCGGCGCTCACTGTTAACGGTATACATAACTTATTATATTGATCTACGGTCGGTGTCCAAATCTAGAGTGTCACAAGGTTATAGGTATGACGCTCCTAGAAAAGATCGACCATGTTATAGGTATGAAGCCCCAACAAAAGATCGACCAGGTTATAGGTATGAAGCCCCTTGAAAAGATCGACCAGATCATAGGTATGAAGTACCTAGAAAAGATCGACCAGGTTATAGGTATGAAGCCCCTAGAAAAGATCGACCAGATCATAGGTAGGAAGACAATCCACAGATAGACGGTTTCGCTGTATGACAGCAGATGAGTGTGGCTAGACATCGGATTGGTCGAAGCCGAGATCGAAACCGATTTGGCATCAGTCAGAGATTAATGGAAATGTTAACGTTTTACTATACGAAAGGCGTCAGTAGCTAGGAGAGCTCGATTTGAATAGAGGAGCATTGCATTAGCAGCAGCAGATACTGTTTATAAAATTACAAATAGTCGTCCACAGACAGATTGTTTTGCTATATCACAGCATCAGTGTGATAGACATCCGATACTTTCAAATCGGGATCGAAACACCCGGCGGATTTGAACACACATGTATGTGTTTGTGGGTATATATATATATATCGGTTGGAATTAGTATGTAATTTTTCATTTGTACAGTGTAACCCGGATATAAGAGAGTTGTCGGGACCGGAGAAGAAGTCTCTTATATCCGGGTTTGGTCTATTATATATACATTAACACAGGCTCTAATTTGGGACCAGAGAAAATCTCTCTTATATTCGGGTTTTTCTTATATCCGGGTCTCTTACATCCGGGTTACACTGTATTTCAAATGAGATTAATTAAACTTTACATCAGCTAATATTATTGAAATGTAGTTTCAGAAAAGTATATTTTATTTTTGAAAGATTTTTAATAATGAAAATTACGTTGTGATGAGATATTTGTAAGTGTATCTAAAACCAGCCATGTTTAGCCATTTATAAAAAAAATCTCGTTCCAATCAATAAAAATCCAGTTTGAAGTACAGTAAAGTATTGACATTTATTGTAAATTAATACAATTATGTCACAAGGCCGAAAAGTACAGTAAAGCATTTTGCTTATTGGAAATAACAAATTTAATCAATTAGCTTGGGTTTAAAATTATAAGCTTCAAGAAAGATTTTTTCATTTTAAAATTTCAATTTAAATCTTCGGGATCGCTTTTTGAATCCGATAGAATACTTTCATAGTCTTTTTATATCACAGTGTAACCCGGATATAAGAGAGTTGTCGGGTCGGGAGAAGAAGTCTCTTATATCCGGGTTTCTCTTATATCCGGGTTTGGTCTATTATATATACATTAACACAGGCTCTAATTTGGGCCCAGATAAAATCTCTCTTATATCCGGGTTTCTCTTATATCCGGGTTTCTCTTATATCCGGGTTTCTCTTATATCCGGGTTTGGTCTATTATATATACATTAACACAGGCTCTAATTTCCGGGTTTCTCTTATATCCGGGTTTCTCTTATATCCGGGTTTTCTCTTTATCCAGGTTTCTCTTATATCGGGTTTGGTCTATTATATATACATTAACACAGGCTCTAATTTGGGCCCAGATAAAATCTCTTATATCCGGGTTTCTCTTATATCCGGGTTTCTCTCTTATATCCGGGTTTCTCTTATATCCGGGTTTGGTCTATTATATATACATTAACACAGGCTCTAATTTGGGACCAGATAAAATCTCTCTTATATCCGGGTCTCTTACATCCGGGTTACACTGTATAAGTTTAATCAAATTCCAACGAAAGTAACTTGTGATTTTTTTCGACATTCGTGATTATATTCTTGAACTTTGGTCCAGATTTGACATATTTTTATACGTTTGAATACTTTCGGCGAGCGATAACCATTTCCTAAGACATTTGGTCTTTTGGAAGTTTCGTTTTGTTGCCGGCTTCCTTTTTATTTATCACCTTTCACGTGTTCACGTAAAAGTTCGTATTTTCCTTTGCTTTTACCGCCAAAATACGGCATCAGTTGCACACACGAATTCGCAAAAATCCTCAAAATCAAGAGATGGAACGACAATCGTATTAGCATCGTTGGACATTCAAAAACTAAACGAACGGCCAAAGAAACAATTTACATGAAAAAAAAATGTCTAGAATTTTATAGGCCACTCCTCGAAAATTAAATTAAAATAAAATAAAATTCCAAATCGAAACTCAACACGCGTTACATTGACAACATACGAACTAACAATATTGTCGAAGAAAAAATAAACATTCCCAACTTTCAAAAATAAGTCTTTAAAAAAAGGAACAGAAACTAAATTATAAAATACCTTTTTTACATTTTTATATTACTTGATTTGATTAGTAAAAACCATAGAATTTACAAATAAAAAAGACTTAAACCCACGCTTCCTTAACTAGTTGTGAATGCGCACACATGACCCTCATAAATAATTTAATAACTAGAGCACATTTAATCTCCTCGACACACAATATTTCTTAGTGAACTGAAAAGTATAAAACAAGGGCAAATTCACAATAATTTCCTAACCATTTAGTCGATAAGAAAATAATATAAAAAGACTATGAAAGTATTCTATCGGAATCAAAAAGCGATCCCGAAGATTTAAATTGAAATTTTAAAATGAAAAATCTTTCTTGAAGCTTATAATTTTAAACCCAAGCTAATTGATTAAATTTGTTATTTCCAATAAGCAAAATACTTTACTGTACTTTTCGGCCTTGTGACATAATTGTATTAATTTACAATAAATGTCAATACTTTACTGTACTTCAAACTGGATTTTTATTGATTGGAACGAGATTTTTTTTTATAAATGGCTAAACATGGCTGGTTTTAGATACACTTACAAATATCTCATCACAACGTAATTTTCATTATTAAAAATCTTTCAAAAATAAAATATACTTTTCTGAAACTACATTTCAATAATATTAGCTGATGTAAAGTTTAATTAATCTCATTTGAAATACATATTACTTTTAGTATAAAATATCACGGAAAAGCATTTTTCACACGATGTGAGTATTTTCATGAGGCGTTGGCAACTCTCACACTCGCTCTCTCTCTCTCTCTCGATAGACTTATGTTTGGAAATTCTTTCTACGGTGGACTTCTCTGTAAACATTATTTGACGAATCTAACGTGAGCGCATTTTTGCATAATTTTTAAATACCCCCAAATCTTTAACGTTTAGGAAAATATTCTCAGTTTTCTAATGTTGCATTGAATTATAGGTACTTTCACTTACGTGCAAATGAACTTTGGAAAGGTATGAATCTATCTCCTTCCCCCCATCTATGTGTTAAATATTAAGATTTGTATCGGAAAAAAAATGATTGTTATTCTTAAAAAATTGATAATGCAATATTCACCTACGAAAAGGAATAATTTTTAGAGTCCAAAATATATATTCAGCTTTAAATAATCTACAAACCCATGTTTAAGGAAAATTGGGTTGGAATATGCGAAATAAATAATAAAGATCCTTGTTTTATGACAGATTTTATGCAATACAAGGCCCAAGGGCCACTCAAGGTAGAGCGTTACTTTGTGGAGCTGTATTAGCGTATGACTGGGCAAGAAGTGAAGTTCTTGCAGGCTATGCAGGTAAGATACTTTAGACTTGAAGAAGTCAAGATTTAATACGTGAATAACATTACAGACTTCATTTAGAAGTATAGCGTGGAACTAGATTTTGGGATGAACCAGAAACCAAATTCTAAAGAGCAAACCTCTAATCCTGTTCAAAAGTCTTGAGAGAAGTGTGAACCAAATGATAGATGATTCTATCTATTGCTTTTATGAGAGAAGAAAACAAGTGAATTAAAGTTCAGAGCTCATTCGAAGACGTTAGAAATATAGCGTGGAAGTAGACTTTTGAAGGAACCGGAAGCCAAATTCTAAACAGGAAACTAGGGATAAACCTCTTATCCTGTTCAAAAGACCTGGGAGGCCTGTGAACCGGATGATAAGCGAACCTATTTACGTCTATTACCAACTAATAGAGAAAAAATGCAGAGTTCTACAAGGAGTGGGCTAATTTGAAATCCATCAGACGTTAACGTCTTCAATACAGGAAGAGAAAGCGGGAAAAACTCCGGCAGTAAGGTTTAATAAAGATTCGGATTATCTCTTCTATATATAGCAAGGCGGTTTTTGTAACACACGGCTTCTTCTATCATTGCGAGCTGAAGACGCCTACATTAAAATGGTGAAACGCGTAGTCTGAATAGCTTTTCCACTCATTATCTCCACTTTTGTTCAGACATTATCCTACATTCTACCCGCGTGTACATACATATATATATATATATATATATATATATATATATATATATATATATATATAGTGCTGTTCGATAAAAGTGACTCACCTGCTTTTTTTTACTAAAAATATTTTTGCCTATTGTTTTTGTGGTTAAAATAATTTTTAATCTTACTAATATAAAGACCCATTCCCGACCACCTAGTAAAAAATTTATTCACCCGAAGGTATTCTATTGATAATTATAAATTTGGATATAAATGAGATTCAGGGAAAAAAAACTCTGTGCAAAAAAAAAAAAAAAATGACTCAGATATCGCATTCTAATGATTAAACTGGTAAATTTAAAGAACCTTTGACAAAATATTGAAAACTATTTTACAATACACTCAGAACAATATTCTAGAGAATTCTAGAACAGCTTAAATTAAATCTAGAGTATTCCAGAATATTCCAGACAGCCTCATACAGTATAAAAACAGCTTGAAATAGCCACTCAGAACCACTTAAGCCTATTAATAACTTAATAACCTATTATTGCCCTCTCAAAAGCAGGCAAGTCTACGTGAGAAATTGTAGAAATAACTATAACCTTACAATCAACTGTCTCACGAGTGCTTAGGGAACATAATGATGCCACTCCTGCTCCAAGGAAGGAAACAAGGGGTCGAAAGAAAAAGATTGATGATAGAACTGGCAGGGTAATCAAGAGAGAAGTTGCGAAGAATAGGACTATAACTAGCCAAGAAATTGCAGCCAGTCTAAGCGAAGAGCAAGGTATTAGTCTTGCCTCTTCAAACAGTCTGTCGGTGGCTGTTAGAACAAGGCTACAAATCTTGTACACGAAGGTTTCAGCCGCTAATAAGCAAAGCCAACAAAGCCAAGAGACTTGAATGGGCTCACTATTACAAAAACTTCATCGTAGAAGACTGGAAGAATGTTCTCTTCTCCGATGAAACGAAAGTTGAGGTAAATTCAAAGGATAAGAAATCTAAAATCCGAAGAAGCTTTGAAAGCTCTTTGAATTTAGCAGTAAGTACTGTCAAGCATCCGTTCAGTATAATGTTCTGGGGATGCTTTTCTTTTCATGGAACTGGTTTCTTAAAACGTATTGAAAAGACCCTCGGGAGCGAGCAGTACAAGATAATTTTAGAGTCTTGTCTGCTCCCTTCTGCTGAAAGGGTGCTAATCGACCCCACCAAGCTCATTTTTTATGTAGGATAATGCTCCCTGTCACAAATCAAAATTGATGAAGGAATACTTTGATGAGAAGCAGGTGAGTGTTATGACATGGCCGCCCCAATCTCTTGACCTCAACCCCATAGAAAACTTATGGAGTATTATAAAGTACAAGCTCTCGAGAAAGCAGTTGAGCAACAAAGCGGATTTGATTGTGAATTTCATATCCGAATGGAATTCAATGTTTGGAGATGAGATTTGCCAGAACCTAATCAAGTCAATGCCAAAAAGGGTTGAAATGGTTATTCAAAATAAAGGAGGACCCATAGATTATTAAATATCTCGAACTATATTACCTATTATAAATAAATTATACCTCTATTATTCTTTATTTAAAGCTGTTCGGTTATGTTTCTATTGATTACTAGTTGCAGGAAATAAGTGAGTTACTTTTTTTTGCACAGAGTTTTTCCCTAAATCTCATTTATATCCAAAATTATAATTATCAATAGAATACCTTAGGGTGAGTAAACATTTTTACTAGGTGGTCGGGAAGGGTTCTTTATATTAGTAAGATTAAAAATTAGTTTGACCCACAAAAAAAGAGGAAAAAATTTTTAAGTAAAAAAATCAGGTGAGTAACTTTTATTGAACAGCACTATATATATACTATTTACATTATTCGGACTATTGTCCTCATCTTTGTCGCGATATTTATTACAGCGTTTCGGCCGTTTTACGCTCCGGCCTTCTTCAGGTGGTTGGGATGTCGAAATGAACCCTTTATTTCGCTCACTGGGGTAGACTGTTCTAGTTCCACGTGCCATGTCTAATGGCTGTCAGTTATCAGTTATCTCCTGTTAATTCCCCTCTCCAAGTTCTCCACTACCTTAACTCACACTCTTTGAGTCCTGTCACTTGATCTTACCAACGCATTTATTCACTGTGCCATGTGTCCTTGAGGTTCAGTTCGACATTCCAACCACCTGAAGAAGGCCGGAGCGTACAACGGCTGAATCGTTGTAATAAATATGGCGATAAAGTTGAGGACAATAGTCCGAATAATGTAAATAGTGTACATAATGCCTCATCTCAGATATATATATATATATATATATATATATATATATATATATATATATATATATATATATATATAACGCGTTTGTAATTATATATTTGTCGCTCTTTTTGTTACACCTCCTCTGATCTTCCCCGTCCATTAGGAAATCAGTCTCCTTTGTATAACCTGAAAAGAAAAGTGTTTGTTACAAAAAGTATTTCTTTTTTTATTATTGTTAAAACGACCTCTTGCGGTTTCTCTCGCCGTTTTTGTCTCCCTCTCTATATAACTTTGTTCATTCCCCCTTTTTTCACCTTCTCTTGATCTTTTTTTCTGTCTTCATCCAATCTCTCTCTCTCTCTCTCTCTCTCTCTCTCTCTATTCTTCTCCCTCTTTCTCTGTCCTCTTTCTTTACTTTTCCTATTGCCACACACGTTGTTTGAACAGGGCTTTGCTTCACTGCCTCGTTACGCTCAGCGCCGAAGGACAAAACGAAAAGATGGAGGTATAAAAACAAATAAGTGTATTTTACGTGAAAATGTCTTCTTTCGTTTAATCAGTGACAATAGAGAGAATGTAATTGATATAATAATGTAAAGGGCTCGGGAGCCACTACAAGTAGAAGGTTAGAGATTAAGAAGCAGAATTTACGGCTATATGTGGGGAAGATAACGGTTAACCCTAGACTTGAACAGGTTAAGATTGTACTGATCGGGAAAACACCCTCTTGGGAGTCGGTTCCACAGAAAAGCGGTTCGCGAGAAGCTGCTGCTCAAGTGGAACTTACTTCTCACGAATTGAACACGAAACGAATCTGGGTGGTTCGCTACTATGGGCGTGGCAGGGCGGGTCCTAGTCATGAAGGATAGAACTCGTGGAACTAAAGAATGTTATTCATCAGAGCAATATCTATTATATACATATTATATATATATATATAATTTTTTTACAGTAAGGTATAGCATGTACAAGGTATAGCATGTACAAGGCCCGAGAGCCACTCGAAGTAAAGGGTTACAAAGTAAGAGGCAGGCTTTATGGCTATATGTGGGAAAGATAACGGTTAACCTTAGACTTGAACAGGTTAAGATTATAGTGACCGGAAAAACCCTCTTGGGAGTCGGTTCCACAAAGAAGTCGTACGCGTGAAGAAGCTGCTCGAGTGGAACTTACTTCTCACTAATGGAACACGAAAGGAATAAAGGTGGTTCACTGCAATGGGCCTGGCAGATTGGGTCTCGTCATGAAGGATAGATCTGGTGGAACTAAAGAATGTTATTCATCTGAGCAATATCTATATATATATATATATATATATATATAAAACCTAGATATATATACATAATTTTTTACAGTAAGGTATAAAATGTACAAGGCCCGCGAGCCACTCGAAATAGAGGATTACAAAGTAAGAAGCAGAGTTTGTGGGGAAGATAACGGTTAACCTTAGACTTGAACAGGTTAATATTGTACTGATCGAGAAAACACCCTCTTGGGAGTCGGAAAGAAGCTGCTCGAGTAGATCATACTTCTCACGAATTGAACACGAAAGGAATTAGGGTAGTTCTCTATTATGTACGACTCCCAAGAAGATGCTCTCCGATCACTACCATCTGTTGAAGATTCTTCAACCTAAAACTTTACAAAGTTACACAATTGTTTACTATGTATAGAATTAAAGTCAGATGAATTGTGATTGTTTTAATTTCTTTAAAAAAAATTCTTGCATTCATTTGTTTTTTACAGTGGTGTTCACCCTGCGCAAGGCCCAAGAGTCACTAAAGGTAGAGAGTTATAGTAAGAGGCACAGTTTATGTAGAGAATGGTTAACCTTAGAATTGAACAGGTTAAGATTGTAATGATCGAGGAAAACATCTTCTTGGAAGTAGGTTCCACAAAGCAGCAATTCATGGAAATAAGCTGTTTGAGTGCAACTTATATCTCACCAACAATATACATAGGGAAGGAGCGTGGTTCACAACAATGTTCATAAAATGACAGGTCTTAGCCATGAATGTTAGAACTTTGGAACTAAGGAATATAGTTCATCTGAACACTTTCCATGGAAATAGTGATAGAGCAACAAGAGACTTGCAAAGTTTTATCTATGATATGTGCCCATATATGGCAACAATACCCCATTTTTGGCTTGATCTGGCTCTTGTAAAGATAGAGAATAGCACAAGGAATCCGGTATTTACTGGAGCAGTACAGAGAACCAACCATTTTTTTAGCGATGGATTGTATATGTATGAATTTCACTTTAGGTTTGGGTTTAATTTAAGTCTCAATAGTTGCTCAAGGCACATGGTCTGCCTGAGTGAACACCCATTTATCAAGATCAGTGAATGTTCTAGATATGCTCAGTGATGATAAAATGTCACTAGATTCATTTTGAGGCATTGAATGCAACCAGCCAGTTTTTTACCCCACTGAGCTGTTAGGGTTAGGTCAGAGAAGAGAACAGTTGCTAAGCTCTGGTCATCTAGGCTTTGGAGTTGCACACATTTACTATTGTATTGATAGAGCAACAAAAGACTTGCAACGTGTCGTCTGTGAAAAAGTGATTAGAAGCAGGAAAATAATTCATTACACATAAGGACGCAAAGATGTTTCTGGACTTGATCGTGAGTGGAAAGTAAATAATGGGTAGTTACTTTCTATATATTGTAGGGGTACTCCACCTTAGGCCTGATGTGACTCTTGTAAAGGTAGAATGTAGCACGAGGAGTCAGGGATTTACTGGAGCGATATGAGGAACATACTATTTTCCCCAGGCAATTTCTGTACATTTACATTCCCCAAAAAGTAAATAAATCTAAAAGACATGCCTGCGTAGCACAGTTTATACAGATATGTAGAGAATGGTTAACTTTAGAATTGAACAGGTTAAGATTGTAATGATCGAGGGAAACATCTTCTTGGAAGTAGGTTCCAGAAAGCAGTAATAAGTCTTTTTCCTTTCCCTGCGATCAAAATGGAATAGTCCATTATTTCTAAGTTATTGTCAGGGCTAATGATCATACGAACTAACGAAGAGAAGCACAATTGTTATATGACTTGCCAAATCCCCGTCTTACGAATTCTTTTAATAATAATTTTAAAATAATCCATCAGGCGACGTTATTTTATTTATGGTAACTGAATTTTTGGCGATTATCTTACTCAGTATCTGTCGATGCTTGGCATCTGAAAAATTCCGCTTTTATCTCTGTTGTCATGACTTCTCGGCTTTTTTGCTGGGATCAAAGTGTAGTATCTTTCCACGGGCGGATCAAACTTCATTTTATCTCTCAGTTTTGTCTCTGTCTTCGAACGGAGCGCAACTCAGCGGGGTCGGTCGGTAATAATAAATTCATTATTAATCTTTCATTTTCTCACTGAACGCAAATCGCGTTTTTTTTTTCTATTTTTTCACACGATGAAAACGGTATAGTCCATTATTTATCAGTTAATCATCTTATCATGTTAAACATCTATCTTCCATTATTTCTACATTCTTTGCTTTTTTTCTTTTTTTCTTTCTTTCTTTCTTACTTTCTTTCATTCATTTTCTCTCTGAACCCAATCCGTGTATTTTCCTTTCTTTCCACACAATCAGTATCGAATACCCCATTATTAATGAGATATTGGCAGGACGTAATGGTCGTGCGAACTAGCGAAGGAAGCAACAAGTACAGTTATAATAGGATTCTCTAGTCAATTTGATACTCTGACGTTATTTCATTTAATATTCTATAGAAGGTTTCCTTGTCTTTACAATACGATCTAACACCAACAAGTCCACCTTAATGTTGGAAGATAATGATTTTAATTACGACCAACACATTCCGTGTATAGTCCTTTAAATGGTACGTGTGAAATCAGATACAAAAGGGTTTTATGTTGTGATACTTAATAGCTGGTTGCTGATTCGGCGACGTCGCCGTTCTTGAATTATGACAAGACACGAGACGATTTCAGCTTCGAACAAATTTTTGTAGAATAAACAAAGAAATTTTCCATGACGTCGCTAATTGACACAGACGAATAATCAAGAAGTAGAGGCATAAACAGACGTTTTATTCACTATTCTTTCCTTCTGTCGATGGTTTTAATTTGGACGATTTTTCTTGTCATACATTATGGGTCAGAGCAGGAGACTTGGAGCGATTATTAGCGATTGAATAGACCAATCAGAAAGAAAAAAAAACGGACCAATGAAAATTTCTATAAGTACAGGTACGTGCCGGTAAAATTCATATTAAAGAGTGTGAGAGAGAGATTTTGAGGAGAGTTCTTTGTTTCATAGAATTTTTAAATATGTCTGTAATTTCTAAGGCATCAAGGAATTTTCTTTATCTATATTATTTCCGACTACAATAAATGTTTACATTATTTGGACTCTTATCCTCATCTTCATTGCTCTATTCGCAACTCCGGCTTTCTTCAGAGGATCGGAATTTCGAACCGAACTCTTTATTTAGTCCACCGGGGTAGATTGTTCTAGTTCCACGTGCCATGTCTCTTCCTGATGTCTCAGTTATTTCCTTCATTTTCTCTCAATGCAATATATATATATATATATATATATATATATATATATATATATATATATATATATATATATATATATATATATTTAAAATATATCTGTTAAAATATAGTTCCTTCGCTACACAGGAATTATCATATATCAAAAACCGATGCTAAAAACTTCAAATTTAATTATATAATTCGGTTTTTGAAACATGATAATTTCTGTGTAGCGAAGGAACCATATTTTAAATCATTTAATTTATAATATTTATGCTCTGTAAATTTACATTGAGCACTGTTTTGCAAAAATAAAAATATCAATAATAAAAGGGATTATATATCTTACTGTTCTTTTTTTTTTTATATATATATATATATATATATATATATATATATATATATATATATATATATATATACATATACCGGGTGCTACAGTAAAATTGTCGATTAAGATTTGAAGCATTGCATGTAAGAAATGATTAAAGCTATCTTACTGGAATTCTCCGAACGAATTTTTTATAACACTCTTGGACTTTACTTTGAGCAATAAGAATGTATAATTACTCTCCAAGCTTAACAGAAGAATGAAATCGATCATAAACAAAAAAAACATGTTTAAAGGGTCAGAAGCTCATGAAGGATTGAAATTATCTTCATATATATATATATATATATATATATATAGTTTATGAAAAACTAGGTTATCCGTATGGGTAAACCTGAGGAGGATAAAACCCAGAGAGCTCAATGTAAATCCAGAGCAAATAATTTAAATAAAAACAGACCACTTTAAGGTTCCATGTAATAAATTATTTCACCACACCCCTTTTAAAGGACTGCGAATCATCAGACTTTACTTCCAAACAAAAAATGAAAAGAAAATTTACACATTTTTGACGGGCCGTATTAAACATATGTAAATTAACGAAGTGAGGAAGTGAGGGGGGAGAGAGAAGACATGAGTGAGTTAGCAGATATTGACACATTTAAACGGTTAACTTAACGGAAGTTATATATTGATATCGAAGGGGTAGAGAAGAAAAAACCCGTAGAGAGAAAAAGAGAGAAGGAAGTTATGAGAGAAAGTGTCAGTAATTTTCTTTGTAAAAAAAGGCAAGAAACAGACGCTGTTATTTTGTTTTACTTTCAAAGTGTTATTTTGGGGGTTCATAAAGATTATAATGTTTGATATAAATTTGAATGTCTCTAAACTGTCTACAAATGATTTAATTTGATGTTTGTTAGTGATTTAAATTTTATTAAAATTTTGCGGATTTTCTATGAAATAGTCGATTAGAAAAATATTCATACAAATTTCATTAAAAGAATAAAATTTTATTTTAAAATATAAGTTTACTTCTAGTAATCTTTTTTTAATCTCTTTAAAAAAATTTTATTATTGATTATTCATTTTCCAATTTATTCACGATGATACCTTTGTAACCTACTAACTTTCTGTCCAGAAGTAGAAAGATGCCTTACACGTTCCATGTACGATTTTTAAGTCTTTTCCACTGCTCTATGAACTGTGATAGCTGAAACTCCTCTCTCACGTGTCAAACGTCTTATGGATTGAGTTGAACCTTATTTAACAGTGGAAATGGAGTGTTAAAATGCTTTTATTTTTTAAGTAGAAAGATGCTCACACAAATTTCGTCCGCGCACAACACGCTAAGGCTCGGAATAAACGCTCCTTTTCAAAACAACAAAAAATAAAATACAGTCAAAACACGAGGAAAATAACACCCATCTCCTTTCAAAATGTTTAAAGTATAGCCGAAATCGCTTAGAGCAACGAAAATTATGGAAAGTTTATGCACTCCTTGATTCCTGAAAACGAAAAAACGTAAGGATGCTGGAAAAAAACTAGATAAAGAATTAATTAAATTTTCTTTTTCTACCATCTTTAATGAAAGATGCCTAAAAGAAAGATGGTAGCCCCGATATACATTACTGTTGACTTCCTTCACATACACACTTATACACTTAAATGAATTAACGTAACCGTTCTACATACACCTACACACACAAGCATTTATTTACTTACACACTCTTATTCTATCGCACACTTTAACACCCTAAATGTTCCTCACACATATTTATGTATTATCTAATGCGTTTATACACGTGATGCTTGTCTGACCAATGAGAACTACCAAAAATCATAATCTGTCTTTCTGAAGATCCAGAGAATAATAGATTCTCTGGTGAAATAAATTATTACAATGGTACCTCAAAGTGGTCTGTTTTTTCTTTAAATTAAATTAAACGCTCTGACTGAAAATTCAGCTCTCTGGATTTCAACCTCCTTGGGATTATCCATACGGATTACCATATATATATATATATATATATATATATATATGGTAATACCATATATATATATATATATATATATATATATATATATATATATATATATATATATAATGTAAGTGGCTCAGACACTAATATTCCATGTTTATAATTTATTACATTCCAATGTAATAAATTATAACCATGGAATATTAGTATTTGAATATTTTTATATTATATTCTTATTCTGTCCTGGACATTGAGTTCTATCTGGATTTTATCCTCTTGCGAATTTATACATACATATATATATATATATATATATATATATATATATATATATATATATATATATATATATATATATATATATATATATATATATATATATATATATTGTAAAATTAAATTATATAAGACAATATATTGTTTATATTTAAGAATCAATAATTGACTTAAAGAAATTTTATTAAATTCATTTGGAAAACTCTGTTTAACATTACATTTTATTTTGCTATGTTCGAATTGTTCGTATTTCAAAATATGCGTAATATAAATACAATAGATTTAAACTATTCCAAAATTTTGACTAGTTTTGATAAATTCAGTGAAATCTTATTCATGGCCCTTATAAAATAGACGTATATTTGAATTTGAAACGTGTTCCGAAAAATACTAGGACTTAACTAAGAAACACTTGTCTACGATTCTGACAACACTTCATTCCTGATAATAATATTCAAACCACAAAACAAACAAAAAACATGAATTTTGGGCAGATTATGCATAATTCTGTCAGGATGTGCAAAACCTCATTCGAAAACTGGAAAATGCAATAGAAATTAAACAGATAAAGCTGGTTTAAATAAATTCGTCCTGCCTATCTCTGTATTATATATTTTTTTAAATTGCGTTCGCCCAAAGCAAGGCAGTAAAGCCACTAAGACGTAACGGTGGTTACTGGGTGTGAAAGAAGTAGAAAACATAAACTTTTCTAAGCGAGAAAAATAGAATAGTAATCCCGAGGACACTAGATGATGATTGACATTGTTTTTAAATTATTGAAGATAAAAGAATGGAGCCGCATGAGATATCCACAGCCTTTCACCGCGAGTTCTTAAAACTGGAACAACAGATTAGGAGTTCCAGCCGTCAGGAAAACAAGAGACAGTGAGGCATTTATTATACAGTTTAGAGAGAACATGAGCCAGTTCGTGAGCACAAGTCTTAATGGCTATTACAGAGATGTCATCAGGTTCACGTGCTTTGTGGGGATCTAGATTAGAGATGAGATCAAAAACCATAGAAGGGGTTATATACATATATCTCAAACAAGTCTCAGCTCTAAGTAGGAAGTTAGGCAAGGATACTCCAGATGAGTCAGGAGTAGAGTTTGAGGAGAATTTGCGGGCTAAACATTCAGATTTATCAACAAAAGATGTTAACACCTCAAAATGATTGAAGACAGGAGGAATAGAAAACTTATACTTATTTAATACACTGTTACAGAGCCGCCGGTAATCACGAGAGCCAAAGTTATTACATGCAATACGGTGCCTCTTTCTCTCAGCAAAGACTTATCTCCTTCAAGGCCACCTTTAGATTTTCTACGTGCAGACACGTCTAAGCGTCTGTTGTGACGTAAGCAATATATATATATATATGTGTGTGTGTTTGTGTATATACGTATATATACAGTGTGTATTCACACACACACACACACACACACACACACACACACACACACACACATATATATATATATATATATATATATGATGAAATGTGTGTATATGTGGGTGTGTCTGCTTAGGCGTCTGCGTATATGTACATTTAACTGCATATATTATTATATGTGCTTGTTCATCTGTGTGTAGTGGGAAAAAAGCTCAATTAAAGAAAAAGATAGTGTGAAATATAGGATGATTGTGCTGCGTCAGGTGTTTTTTTTTATAATTCTCTAGGTGAACTCAAATCACGGGCATTATTTTCCACTGCAATGCAAACTTTCAAATGCGTATCCGCATCTGTG